GATAAGCGCCTGGGAGCTGCCGCCTGTGGTTGGGTTGTACCTCACGCCTTCTCCTCCTCTCGTCTTACAGGGCTGGTGCGGGAGTTACTGAGGGAGGAGGCCCCGTTCCGTATCGCCGCCCTCACCGAAGAGCTTTTCCAGGCGGCGGGCAGCCTTTCTGAGAAGGACGGGAGCGCGGCTGAAGTAGAGCCCCCGCCTCCCTGGCCGGTGCCCCTTTCCGGCCCGCCTGAAGAAGCGGGAGTTTCGTGTACTCCGCCCCGCCTCGTAGCGCTCGCCCAGGTCGGTGCTGCGGCCCTGCGGCTGCGGCAGGGCCCGCGCCCGCCTCCCCCCTCCCCTGCTGTTGGGAGTGTGAACAAAACAGTTTTCGGTTTTGAACCCAGTAGCCTGAGAGTCCGAAATAAAGTGGAAGATGTTACGTTTAAAAAGTCAATGCAAATTAGTGACCTGAAGTGTAGGAAGTGTGTGCAATAATGGGAAAAGTTACTGGTATCGTAGTGATGTTAAGGTCATGTTAAGTTTTTTATTACTTCAATTTTCTAGTAGTATCTTAACTCAATTTGAAGCAAAAATGCAAGTGTAGAGTGCTGATGCATTAAGAGTTTGGTGCTGGATCAGAGGAGAGCTTATGTGTGGATTCTGGTAATGACAGCAGATACCTGAGGAAGAAGGAAACAAGCAAGCATGTAATTTTAACTGGTGAACCCAGTGCATAATACTAGAGTGGGAAGTACTCGTTTTGAGACACTATAAAAGTGAATTAGGTTGGTTTTTATAATGTTTTTAAATTTAGGGGTTTTTTTCCTTCTGTATGTTTTTCCTAGAGGAGTACTTACAAAGTATTAAATGTCTAACAGGTCTTTTTTCAAAAAGAAGTCTGATCAGAAATACATGAATCGAATAAAAACAAGACTAGCTGAGATACTGTCCAACCTTTTCCTCCAAAATTGTATTTTGAAAAGAGATTTAACTCATAGTGAATTTTCACAGAAGGAAGACTGATTTTGAAAGCCCTAGATTTGTGACAAGGAGCAAGATAGGTTAGCGAGTGTTGCAACAGAAAGTCTGCTTAGTGCAATCTGTGAAGAAATACAGAAGCATAAAACTGGTATCCTTCAGTTCTTCCTGAATCAGTTGGACTAAATTAATTTTAAAGAAAGCAGAAGTCATTAATCTGTCATATGATCCCTTCAATAAAAAGGCCTGTAAAATGTGTCCTGGTTAGGCAAGAGTGTGTTTGTAGGCAAGATCTGCTATGGAAACCAGGAGCTGAAGTGATGGAAAGTGCAACCCTTCAAGGTAGGTTGTTAAAGGAGCTTACTGATTTTTAGATAGGACTGCATCATCTTAAAAGAGTGTATAGTCAGTAGCCTTTGTTCTTTGTTTGCTAGTATCAGAAGTTTCCTGATGTAGGTATTTAAAATAAACTACTTATTTTTCTTTTAGATGGGCAGAAGAGATGAAGCCTTACAAACCTGATACAATACTTACAGGTGTTTTCAAACCTGATGCAATACTTACAGCTCTTTCCCAATCCAGTCAGAGTTTTCAGCATCTTTTTAAAATGCACATAATGTGTTCTGAAAGCTGCCAGTGAATTGGTTGTATTTTGGACATGGTGATTTTGTATCTGTGAGTGTTTGTCAGAAAACTTCATCTGAGATGGATAGGGCAAGCGAGGTCGCATTTTGATAAGCTTGGAAAAGGACTTGATAGAAACATAGGGCATTTCAGTGATGTGTAATAAGATAGATTAATGGGATTAATAGTTGGATGTTCCTGTTACACAGTTCACTATTTGTAATTTCAAACTGGAGCCGAAGGCACTGATGGATGGTGTGACATATATGTGCTCTTGGTCATATGACTAATTAGTTCTTTTTAGTTTCAGGTCTAATCAGCCTTGGATTTACACTGTCATGTTCTTTCTTACTTCACTTCATCTTAGAAGTGCTCTCATGTTTTTTAGAATATGTGAAATAGTCTTTAAAAAAGACTGAATATAGAATAGGAAATATACTTATGAAAAGAGTATGAGCTTCCTGCCAGCTCCTTATAATTCTTCGGAAATTATGGATCTATAGAAAAGAATGATCTGTACTTTTAGCTGAAGAAATGCTATGTTGTCCATTCCACGTGCCTGTTTTCAGGTCACTATCCCACATCTCGCTGCGGGATCATGTAACAGTTTCACAGAAAACTCACACCTTTGACTTCAACAGGAAAGGAAGTTGCACAAGCACATGAACAGGTCATTACTGTGATACACATGAAAAATGGTTCCTTTTCCAGTAGTAAATTTAAATGTGCCCCAAATCTAGAACAAAACTAAATCTAATGGAATTCTCCTCTCAGGTCGAAGAGGATGCAGTAAGCCTGTGGAACTGGGCTGTGACTAAACACACGGGTTGTGTTCTCAGTGATGAGCAAAGAGCTAAACGTATGTATGTGCTCTATACCTTCCTCAATGTGTTTTGTGTGCTGTAGCAACAAAAAGGAAAAACTCTCTGCTGACAGGCATATTGATAGTGCTGCAGATTTGTCTGGAGCTTTGCAAATAGGGTGTAGGCAGAGCAAAATACACAGCTGGGCTTGTATAAACAGTTCATGCAGACTCAACCTGGTGTAACAGTGATCTTGTGACAGAATCAGTGTAGACGTTATCATTCACCCTTTCTGGGCCACAGCATCAGTAAAGAGGTGATGTGACCAAAGTAAGCTGTAATTTGCCTTCTAATGCTATGATTTTAATCTAAAAAGATACCGAAATAACATAGATGTAAATTTTATACCGTCAGTCAATTTATATCACATGAGATTTGTTTCTTTAATGTAGCTACCTCATCAATGTTTACATACAGCAAACCTCTAAATCATCCTTTTGCTTTCCTGCTTTAGCCAGGTACACAACTGGTGGGTTTGCTTGGAGCCAGAAGCAGGGCAGGGGCAAAGCAGAAGTGAGCTTTTGGTCTTTTCCCTCATCCTGTTCTTTATGTGGTTCTGCAGGATTGCAGTATCTGGCCCACATTTTTGTCTTGAGGAATTAGAGTCAAAATTACATATAATCTGCATCATATAAAGTATATCAGGTAAAGGGAATAGGGTAAGTTTACACAAAACAAGTAGTCATTGTAGAGCATAATGTTCTCAGATCTTGAATCGCAGCTGAAGGGCCAGGGAGAGGCTATTTTAAATACATTAAGTGGTGTCTTTTCCACCCATGCTGTATAAGGAAGGCCTGAAAATATTTTTGCTTTTTACTTTGAAAATGTAAAGATTATTAAACCTCATTTCCTTATTTTGCCGAAGGCTGTTTTGAGGCTCTCAAGACATGTTGCTGTAAGCACTTGCAAAGTAATTAAGTCTTTGAATACCGTGTATTTAACTTAAACTTTCTCTAAAGTGTTTAATAGGTATTTTGATGAGAACATTTTTTTCCCCCACTGCCTACAAAGCAGTTTTAAAAAGCTTCGCTAAAATTCAGACTGCTCCTGAAGATTGCGATTTTTTCTTTCTTCTAATTTAAAATGGCAAGCAGTCTTTCAGAGATAGCAAGGCCTGACTTGGGAAAAAAAAAGGGGGAACTTATGAATGTCCGTGGTGTTTTCTTGCAGTACGGTTTGTTGCTTGCAGACTGCTGTGCCTTTGTGAAGGCAGTGATCCTTCAGAGGGAACTATTCGAAGACAGATTTTGGTAAGGCTCATGGTGGGTGAGCAATAAAGTACAGTTGATGGTCAAGGGACACCTTCAAACCCTATTAGAGTTGCTTTGGAAAAGAAGTGAAAAGTACCCGTAGTTCTGGGGAATGTACGTGCTGAAGGTGGACCTGTATTAGCACAGGGATACCTTGCTAAGCCAGTGCAGTTATTTGTCATACGGTAAAATGTGATATAAGCAGCACATTAATTTATTTCAGTATCTTAAAATATTGTCTAGTAGGGCAGGGTAAGTCTTATGCTGCATCTAAGTGTTAAGGACTCTGTTCAGACATGAGAGGTGTGTGTCAGAAACTGGAGCTGAAATCCCCCTCTCCTACATTAGATACGTGCATCAACAAGATGAGATCTAACATTGCCTTTCTTGAAAGTGACTGTATTTTCACAAAGCACTTCTCATTTTCAGATGTCTATGAAAACTGGGAAAGGATGGATAGATATTGGAAAAGCAGATCTTGCAGATGAATTTCTAGAGGTTGCCATGAATGTGAGTTTGTTTCTAGTTTAAATTTCTTATTTGTATTCCATTTGTAAGTTCCATGGGTGATGCCTATGCTTTGTTTTCCAGAGTATAGAAAAACTCTATGCAAAGTTACTTAAGGGGAGCGATGGTGAAGCAGATATTCATGTGCACAAAGCTGATGTGGAGAAGAACATCTTCAAAGTGCTCTCTTATCAGGCTGAATCAGTAAGTGTTCATCTCAGTTTTCCTTATAAGTAGGTAGGGGTATAGAGGGAAACTCTGACCCAAATATTAGATGTATGAATGCTTGGCATTGAAGACTTGCTGAGGGATACATTTCCTTCACTTAGATGTAAGATAGCAGATCTTGTGTTTGCATTCAGTGTTGCAATCATTTAATGATTTTTAATTTGCCCAATTTATCACAGTAATTTCTGCTGTGGTGTTTATATCTTCTAGTTCAGATTTGTTGCTCTATGATTTGGCTAGCATGGCTGTTTATAAAACAAACAACTGCCTTTCTGAATCATAAGTGTGTCAGTTCCAAAGGTGTCCTGTGCTTGTTTGAAGAATGGGGGTAGGACTGGTGTAGAGCCTGGGTCCCCCAAACTGCATTTGGGTAATGGGTGCACAGCAGGACTGGTCACTTTGGAACACTCATCATACTGTGTTAGTATTTGCAGCTAGGCTGGTTGAAAGTGTAGAATTGTATCATGACTGCAGATAGCCAAGGTTTCGATCTAACAAGCAGATAGAAGCCACATGTGGAAAGTCTTCTGTAACTTAAAACTTCTATGACTACAAACTCATGAACATCATCAAAGCTATTAATATTATATGCCATCAGACAGAGATCTTTCTATAAACGAATACTCTCTCTTCCGTGACCTCATACACGCTACTTTCCACACATAAAAGCTTTAAACAGTGGGAGAATAAGTATCTCAAAAATTCTCAAGAGCTTCCCTAAACTGGCCAAAGCAGTGGCCAAAATTTTTAATTTGATCATGGAGACAAAGAAGGACCTTAAATTATTGGAGAGGTGGGTTAAGGGTTGCTGAGCTGTTGTGTCATCTTAACATCTGAATGACCTTGTCCCATGCATCTGGCCTTTTCACGCTCCCTAAGGACTGCAGTATTTTTTTAAATGTCTTTATCATCTGGCAATATATAGAAATGTACAGAATTATTGTAGCACTGTAAGGACAGAGATCTAATCACAAATCTAGCTTTACTGAATGTGAAAAACCCACGTCCTATTTCAGAGAATGAGTCTTTTAATGAATTTTAAAGACAAGTTGCTCACTAACAAGTTTCTTGGCATGCTCTACTGCTTTCCTAGGCAGTTGCTCAAGGGGATTTTCAGAAAGCGATGCTGTGCATGCAGCGCTGCAAAGATATGTTGATGAAATTGCCAAAAGAGGTAAGTGAATTCATCCCTCCTTTATCATTCCAAACTTTGAAAATCTGCTTTCCTCTCTGTATGTTAAAGAATGACTTATGCCATGTAACATTTTGAAAAGTTCTCTGAATTATGTATCTCTTCTGGTTTTGGTTGCTTCTTTGAGATTTTCTTCCTAAACATTTTGCATGAAAATAGCAGGTTTTTTCTTCAAAGTGTTTGGTTTGGTTTTTATTTTTTTTTTCCTCTCCAAAGTCCATTTTTTCTTGTTTCTCATAGTTTATAGTTTGAAATAGGATGATAAACTCTTCCTGCAGAAAGAAAGAAGACGAATCGGCAATCAGGGCAAAATGATTTTAAATTGAATATGTGACCTACTCTTCGACAGAACCAGCTGCATTTTACATCATGATCTTGTACATTGCTTCTTCACTTGTACACTGTGAACTTTTGTCTGGACACAGATGGGACAAGAGAAGAACAAAGTTACTAAGCTTTTAATATGCAAGTCTTTCACTACCCTGAGTGCTGTTCTTCATGTTCATGAAGCTGTCGAGCTATGAATGGAGGCTTTCCATTGCACTAAACTGTGTTTTTTGTAGTCACAGAACAATGTTCAAAGGAAAAAAAACTCTAGCATATGCAGAGTAGTTCTTTGTTTGCAAAGATAAAAGTTTAATATGTTTATATCAGAATAAATGTGCCCATATTTATTTTCATTTGCTTACTTTAATATTTTCCCAATATTTAGGAAACGTTTTGTTCCTGTCTCTGTGGTACAGGCAATAAAATTCAAAGAGGTAGATGTGAATTCTAAAAGGGAAATGTGGGAAGTAGTTTGGATTTTAATTGAGTTTTAAACCAATTAGAGTCCAGCCAATTTTAAATTGTTTTTTGTTATCTGCAGGCCGCCTTCAGTGCATCCAAGTGACTAAGTCAGTTCACAGGTCTAGCTTTGATTTGAATCATAACGCCAGAGCTTCTCACTGTGAGCTGTTGAAAATACTCACTGGGATCTTTGCATTACTACTCCTTATGTCTATTTTAATTTAATGCTTTCCCCTTAAACTCCTCCATTACATAGTATTAAACTTCTCATGATGAATGCTCTTCACAAACCAGGAACACTGATGCAGACAAGGAAGAGATTTCTGATCATAAGAGATACAATTTACTTCTGGTTTAAAGAGTGGTATTTAAGCAATGAGAAAAAAGGAAGGAGCTAGCGATTGCTGAGTGACTTTGAAACCTGTTGACCACTAGGTAGCCATCAGTCCTTAACTCTTCCATTGTACCAGAGAGCACTTGCAGAGTGTCACAAGGAGATTGTTGCGTTATGTATGGTACCGCAGATCTGCTGGAGAGGATTTGCAGCTTGTGGATCATCACTGGTCTATGGACCATGACTGTGAACCCTTGCCCTACAGGGTGGAATGCCAGAATTGTTGCAAACAAACACTTGTTCAGAGAAGTGCCAGGTTTATGGGGATCACAGTCATTCACTGAAATAGTATTTTAATTATCCTTTGAAATACAACTTTTCCAAGCATGTAAGTAAATGACTGGGGTATGCCACAGTACACCTACAGTATTATGCTAAACACTTTGAATGAAACCCTCTCAATACAGTAAACTTTTGTTCTGGAAAGAAAATGTTCACAAATGAACTTAGAAAAAGAAGGGTTTCACATCTGTGAGTGATTTTGTTGTTGTTGTTCATGCATACTGAATCTGTGCTTTTGTCTCTGAATTGCAATGAGATAAACAGTAAATTTGATGCAAGATGTGCTATATCTCTCATTCTTGCCCAAGAATTTGAAGTCTCTAGTCACTTGTAAAAACCATCATTTATACTTGGCAAAGAAAGTTACTGCAGAGGCAAAATGGATGTAAATATTGGCAGCCTGTTAGCATTTAAACTGACTTTTTTTGGTCTCTTCTTTGGACCATACATGGCAGCTGCACTGCAAATCATTTCAAAGGAAAGACAAGTTGTTATGAAAATATATTGTCAGGACTGGCTGATAAAGCAGAAAGCAACAGTGCTCTGAAAAACCAAGCATTTAAAACCAGTTTTCTCTTAAAACTTGTGATGTGAATGATCCTTTTTTAACCCCTTTGAGAAATGTTGGGGGAAAAAGTCTACCATAGAAGAGGTAGAGTCCTCTTCACTTAGCTACATAAAACTGCTTTGTCATTTTTAAAAATGAAGTTGTAATATTCCAGTTTTTCCTCTCTAGTTTTAATTTTTATTGTTTACACATTTCTAGTGCTTTCAGTGTGGTTTCCTGAGGAGCTGTTCTACCTCGTGTGTTTCAAGAATCCTTCTGTTTTGCGTGTCCTGAACTGGTTAATGACGCTTCTCTTTCCCACACAGTTCTGATTCCATTTCAGTCATGTTTGATATCCCCTTGTATAAGGTCAGAAGTTATAATAGTGGATATATCTTTAAAGTACAATGCATTTTAAAGAATCTGAGACTGGAATGTCATAGATCTAATGATGTTCCTACAAGAACATTATAGAAGCAGGAGCCTTTTATTGCAGGCCTGTTACCTGTCAATCCTCTGTTACAACTTTGGAGTGGAAACCTATGAATGGAAGAGGTATGAGCAGAGCTCCTTCTGGCTCAGGTAATGTGCAAAGGCAAAATAAAATCCTGCTTTTGAGATGTAAAAACATGTGCAAAGGAGAGATGAGAGCAAGGGAAGAGTAGAATTTTAATTAAAAAATTGAGAATACTAGATTTTAACTGAATCAAATTAGCTGAGCAGATACTTAGTGACTGTCTTACAACATTGCCTAACATTTTTGTCTGCTCTCCACATTGATTTTCAGGTCATTGAAATGAAAGTCTTTCCATGGTTCTCATCAATTGTCTCCCTAACATTTCTTCCAAAGAGATTATTTTTATGAAGAGGCTGTTCCCAGTGCTTGTGCCATTCATAAATGATCATGAAAGGATTTGAAAACATTGGAAAAGAGTAGATGAATTCTTCTGACTGGTTTTAAATGGATTTGTTTTAAACAGCATTTGAGTTTCTAAGAAAAGATTGCTTTACTGAGAGCAAGTCCTTGACCAATGAAAGACACAGACATCAAACATCAGGAAACAAGCATAGTTTGAGATGGTTTGGGTAGGATCCAAAAATGTAACGTGGCAATACTAAGGAAGAAAACGTGTAGGCTATTGGGAAGAGTATCCTCATGTCAAGGTCACAGCTTCAGCTGAGAACTTATTTATTTATTTATTTTTGTTTGAAGTAGTCAGAAGAAAATGAATGGCAGCATATCAAATTCAAAATAGTTATGGTCACATACGGTGTCAAAGAGGATTTGTAGAATTAATTACATCTGGTGCCTTGGAGATTATTTTTGTATGTTATTATTGTGGAAAATTAAATACCAAGTCCTGATGTCAAAATCTGAGAAGGAAAGAAACCTTTGCAAAGTGCAAATAATTATGTGGAGAAAGAGATGTAGCTCCATCTAGTGGGTTAAGGTTTTCCTGTACTGAGAATATATTGGGAACCCATTATTAGGAAACAAACGCTCAGTTACTGTTTTTCTTTCTAACAGTTCTTCACTCACAGCATTTGCAGTCAAATCTGGTTTTGTGGAATTACCACTGCGTTTTCTCCTGGGTGGGCCTTTGTGCTGTCATTTAACTTTTAAAAAAAGAATGGGGAATCATGACTCCCAGCATCTGTTTCTGTCTCTGCTCTTGATTTGCTGTGATCTTGAGACCAGGTCCTGTATAACGTTTGGTATGAGTTTATTTTATGTCAGGTAAGAATGAGAACACCTGCTTCTCCAAAACCCTTATGGTTAGAACTGATAAAGCCTACTGAAATGTTCCAATAGAAGATGTTACAGAAGGTGGTGAAATAGATTGAAGGAAGTGATTGAGTACAATTTTTAACGTGGGGATTTAGAAAGAAAACAAATTTGTCTGCTTTGGTGTAAGAGCGAGTGCTGAGACTATTTTGTTTGATTTATGTGGTTTCTAGCTGGTTAAGAAGTGGAAAGGATAGAATGTTGCACATATCAGAAGACTGACTGAATTTCTCTCCGTCATCCCGTTTAATTCTAACTTTCACTTGTCATTGTTAGGCAGAGTTATGACATTGGGAAGATGGACGTGAAATACTCTATTGGCAAAGAAATGCTGGTAAGAAATAGAGAAGTTGCTGTTTACACATAGGAGGATTTTGTTAACCTGAGTCAACTGTATCATCTGTCTCTGCTGTGCCAAACCTGACCAGTGATTCTTTGGCCTCCTGTTTAGTACGATCTGCTACGAAGTTTGGCAGAGTTGCAAGTTCAGTTGCTATGAGCACTAGTCTGAGAGTTCAGTCACTGATGGGTGCCCTTAAATCACATGTGAATCTACTTTTTCACAGGAATTAAATTGTAGAAAGTAAGGGTAAAGTAGATCCTGAAAGGCCATCTCTTCTTCCCTTCCCCCTTTTCTTTCAAGACAACATCAGTTACATCTGTGTCACTCTGGTAGATGTTCATCTGTCTCATTCATAAACCTATTGCTCCTTTTACAACGCACAGTGGAGATGGAGAAGATTTTAATCTCTTCCTCTTTATTTAAAAAATTTATATATTTGAAGGCCATTATCATGTATGTCTTTGTGTTGTGTTTGTTTGGTTTTTTTCTCCATGAAGTTTGTACCTCCTGTTCCTTCAGTTTCTTCTTTCATTCTGGTTTTTCCTTGCTACCCTTCTGTTCTCCTCTGAGCTCTAGTTCATTTGTGTGTGAATTGTGCTTAAGACTTAGATATGCTTCAGAACGGAGCAATTACTTTGTATGTCTGATACCAGCCAGGCATTCATTTGACTCAAAGAGCTTTTATTTTTCATTACCTTGAATTTTGAATCTTTTGTATTCGTATGTATGTTCATGTGTGGCTATTTCTTTTTCTGCTCTTCAGATGGCATTTATACTTCCAGCTTGTTTTTCTTCACAGGCCAAAGTGCTGCGATTGTTAGCTACAGCCTATTTCGAGTGGGACTGCCATCAGTATCTTGACAAGGCACTGAAAGCCATAAGCTTGGCAAATCAGGTAATAATGCGTTGCTGTATTTATGGTGTGCAGGAGTCAAAACTCAAGCATTTATTAACGTAAAAATATGGACCACATGAATCACTGGTGTGTTACCCTCGACATCAGATGGAGTTGTGTTTTCTTTGCCTTGCTTTTCATACTCACAAGTATGTTTTCATGTTCCCAGCTTTTTTATAGAGAAATACTTCTTGACATGTAGCTGTAAAGCTGTCTTGCTGCCTCCTGTTTATTAATAGTGAGGTCCTTTGTTGATACAACTAAAATTTCTCTGGCACATATTCATGAAAAATGTACAAACAGAATAAACTACAGTGTGGTCCACCTGGGGTTTATAGCAGATGGCTTTTTATGCACCAGACCTTTCTTCTTGCTTTGGCTTATAATGAAAATCTCCATACTACATTTTGAGTCCCCATCTCATTATCTGTACAAATTATTGAGCAAGTGCCAAACAGAGTTCAGTTTTGAAAGCCCTGTAACCATGCTACATCAGTCTTATTTCAAACAATTCATTTAGCTATTGTGCTTTACTAACATGGCTGTATTTCTTCTGAAACCTGAAAAGTGAGCTGTATAAACATACCAGCTACCCTGAAGAAAGTTCATATATCTCTAAGAAGTCCCTGCAGTGAGGTCTCTTGCCCTTGTACAAATTCTGTTTCCCATATAAAGACTTAAATTAATTTTGTGCTTCTTCTGTCTTTTCAGGTTAGTTAGAGTAATTTAAATTTGAAAAAAAATTATATTTGTCTTTGGTTGATAATTTTAAAATTTCCATTACCTGTTTCATTCAAAATAAGTTTTAAGTAGAAAATCTGTTTTAAATGAAAGCTCCAATTCAGTTTTCTACATGCTGTTAAAGCTTTCAGACAGATGATGATGAGCACATGCTCAGGAGACCAGGATAAAAGGCAGTGTGTTTTAATCACTCAAATAACATGCTACTACAGTATTAAGCCCTTTGCAGGTTTTGTTGTATTTCCTTTTGCAAGATCTTTTGAGGTAGAAAGTGTTGTTATCATAATTTTTTTTAATGTTTTGATATTGTATGAAGGTGTGGAAAACTAGAAGAAAATGTTTATTCCAGAGTCTGAAATGTGCAGTGTTTTAGTGAGAGCTGTAGTATACAGTCTTCATTATTTCCTTTTGTTCCCACTGTTGTTCTCTTCAACATTTCTTATTATTATAAGCTACTTTGAGTTCTGCTTATATTAATTTGAGAGTAATCCAGCCAATTCACACATAGAAAAGCAGGAAAAGTTTCTATCATTCAGTATTGTTCAGCTTCTATTTAAAAGTATTGGAAATGGGCCGCAGCAAAATGAGAATCACGTATGCCTTGCTTTCATTGTTCTCATGGACTCTTGGCAGTATGAGAATAAATAATAAAGATGCACGTTGCATTTAAGAAGAAAATATTGCCAGTTGCCTGCCTATTGCTTCTGTCATTACAATGGAACTGAAGAATACAGTGGAGTATATGTGATTTCCTGATATTTGTCTGTGTTATGAATGTGCTGGACTCTCATTGGGTCTGTATTCTGTAACCAGCTGTCCGAGTCATGTGTTGTTTCTCATTATGCAGGAGAATTTGCATCCAGCGGGGCTTTTTTTGAAAGTTAAAATTCTTCTTAAAAGTGGAGCGTCAGATGAAGATGTCAACTCAGGTATCACAGCTCTGTACTCCTATTAAGGTGATACTACTCAATATCCAAGAAGATGGCCTGAGTTGTAGATAGAAAAGAAAAATAATCCCTTTCTCCTGTGTTTTAGAGTAATCTTCATTAGCTAAATGTTGTTCTAGTTTTAGAGTGTGAGACACAGTAGTCAGTGTTCACAGAGGAGTTATCCAAGTGCTAATATAAGTTTGAATTAAGCATGGTTTTATTTCTGTTAAGAATTTAAATCAACTTGCTGGAAATAGGGAAGGGGAAAGACTCTGAAGCCTGTTAGAATGAAAATGCAGCAATGTAAAGGTATGGTTTATTTTAGACATATGCCTCAGGCTTACTCAAAAAGGGTGACTCTTACACAGTCAGTGTAGAAGAAAGACTTGTGAACCATTGCTCTTCTCTGTATGTGGTTTTGCAGCTTTTGGCCAAAAGGCATCAAGTGCTGATCAGTGTGTTGTTATAAACCCATGTTACCAGAGTTTATTTAGTTTATCTAGGGCATAGAAACTTGTTTCTTCTTATTCCTCAAACTTGTCACTTGAAGAGGACTGATTTTTCTATTGATATGAAAGGAGAAGAAAGTTTTTTGGGGGACTTTAATATAGAAAGGGTAATGTATCAGGAGAAACTTATTTCCATAAATAATTAAATCTTAGGGAAGAGAGGTTTTGTACTCTTCATGGTTTGAAAGCACCAGGTGCGTAATGAATGCTCTGGAAAAATAAACGTAGGATGAGATGAGGAATTTGTTGCAGAGCTGAATGGTTTGAATGCTGCCAAATTAGCAGGAATGAAAAACTCCACTTCAGATTGCTCCTGGGGAATTTAAACCAGCTTTCAAGTGGTTAGTTACTCAAAACTCATTGCAATAGCTGGCTTCTGTTCTGTAGTTTGAATTATGGAGTCATAGTGTTGCCTATCAAAACACTCTGCTGATGTTTAGTAGCATTAAGACTCCAGTCAGTTTTTCAAGCAAGTTTATTAATGAGTGGATGTCTGTCTTTTCTTGTATGGCTGGCAGAAAAGAGCGTTGAGTCCATGCACTGCAACTTCTCTTTCTTTTGAGTGAAGGTTCCTGCTAAGTTTAAGGCATTTGACTGCAATCTTGTATTAAGCACTTAAAAATGCTTCCTGTAACAACTGTTACAGTCAAGTTTCAATGTGTTCCTTCTCTGATCTCATCCAAGCTATAAATGTGTGAATCTCGTTAGCAGCCATTTAGCACAGTCTAGCAGTTTTAAAACTTTTATCTGAATGGTCTAAAACTGATACCTACTTATCAACACCAGTCAATTCAACAGCTGATGGAAAAGGCATTAGGCTTAAGTAGTTCCCGTTGTAATGGGATGCCACCACACAGCCTGAGCACTGGCCTCAGTCTTAAATGGTTTCTGCTGGAGAAGGATAAGATATTTTGATGGAAAGCAGCTTGAGGCAAAAGTTTGTGCTACTAATGCCTATGCTGTTCCTGCTTTAGAGACAGAGGGCTGGAACGTCAGGGCTATCAGTCTGTCACCTTTCTCCAGTACATTTATTGTACAATGAACGTCGAAGTGCAATAGGCATGTTTTATTCTTCCTTTTGTTTTAGAACTAGTATGTTGGTGGGATTTTTTGTTTGCTTGTTTTTTTTTTCCCAAGAAACTGTATGAGGTAAATGGTAAATTGAGCAGTTAAGTGACTAAACTGATTAAATAATCTCAACTACTTTGTGTTTTATCCAGCTGTTGCAGAATTCCTGCACCATGAGATGTCTTTAGACTTTTGTTTGAATACTGCCAAACTGCTGCTGGAGCATGGAAGGTATGAAAACATCACAAAGTGGGGTGAACACAGTAATTGGGCTTTGTAGGTGTTCTTTCGTGCACAAAGAATATCTGTTACACAATGATGCTTTATTTTAAATAAAAACTCAGAGAGGTAGGTAAACAGTTTTGAGAGGGAGCCTGACTTTGCTATAGCAAAGTGGTACAGATTATGGCAGCAGGGTGTGAATTAATGTTGAGTGGCAATTTGCAAGGCTGTAGCCTTACTTTGGAATGATGAAAATTCTCCCTATGTAGTTTTAGTAAATATCTGGGATGCTATATATATGAGTCTGGAATTATCTGACTGAAATCCTTCTTCCATATTAACTAATCAACCATCAGAATGAAAGAGATTAGAATCCTAGAATAATTATCGTGAAAAATGAAAGCAGTATAAGGATAAACAAGTTACAGCAAAATAAATGAAGGCATGCAATTTCACACTGTTGAATGCTCCATCGTGATTGTATCTATGTATGCTTCTAGCTGGCAGTAAATTCTTACTCCTTCATTGTGAGGAGTAAACTCTCTTGTTAATACTGTGGAACAAGCATGTGTTAATAGAAGGTTAATACTGAATAGATGAACTGCAGTAAATTCATACCTTGACTCACTCTGTCAGTGTGATTTTTGTGCCAGTAGTATTAATGAGGCACATGCTGTATGGTGTGAATATGTTATTTTTTTTAGAATGGAAAATTAACAGCTCTTCTTGTGCAGCCTCTTAAAAATGCATCTGTGTGAATAGGGAATCAGTTGGTTTTGATTTTCTGAAATCCATTCCTGAACGATTTGAATCTTCACCTGACCTTGGAAAAATTACCCTGCTCCACATTGAGTTCCTGTTGCAGAATGAGAGGGAGCTGCTTGCTAAGCAAAAGGTTGAAGAAATTATTATAGGTCTGTATCCATCTTTTGCTGAAAGCTGAATTTAGTTGGCTAGAGTCTTGAATTTTGATTTTCACTCTTTTGCTTATTCCCATCTTTCTTTCTATTTGTGTCTCTTTTCCCTTATGTTTCTCTTGCGTGACAACTCTGAACTGTCATAGTGAATGACAGCCATGATAAAGCTCCGGGTTAAATTAACTTCCTGGAACAATTCCTCCTTCTTAGTGTAGACTGTGTGTGACTGATACATGTGGGATTGGAAACATTTCTCAGAAGTTCTGTGTAATGTCAGTACTTTGGCCATCCAGCCCAATGAGGTTTCTGTCAGTATTAAAGCAGGTTGCATATTTTTGTTTGAACCACTGAATAATGGTTTCCTTTTCAGGTCTGTTGCACCTGTAGTATTTTTTGACTGCCAGATCTACTGGAAATCAGACAGTATTTTACACAGCATCGAGCTAGGTGCAAGAGCCACATTTACATTTTTCAAGCATGAAAATATTTACTCTCTTACCCACTGTTTTGGGTTTGTTTTTTGTTTGGTTGGTTGGTTTGGGTTTGGTTCATTTGCTTTATTCCAGAAGCAGGATATGAAACACTGGGTCCTGGCTGAAACTTTTGCTGTGTCAGTGTTTTTTGTTGTAGGTTATGGGACAGTCTTTCTCAGTTCTTAAGTGCTTCTCAGTGTGCTTCTTAAAGTTCTTGTAAAGTGATGATTTGCAGTATCTTTTCAGGTCATTATACTGGGAAACAGCTGTTGCCTGAAGCCTTGAACCGGCTGCACCTCATCTTGTGGGACAGAGCTGCCAGACATTATGAGGTTTGGGACCAAACAGTCATGGTGTTCTTTGTATCAGTGAAAATCAAGATCTGGGGGTTTTGACCTCTTTGGTATGTCTGGTTTTGGTTAGAGTGCAAGCAGTTACTAAGCTTTGTTTCAGTTGGCACTGGTTTTATTTTAATCCAGCTGGGTGCTGTTTTCCATTACAAGAAGTTTCAGGTAGCCTCATCTCAAGGTTTGTACATGGGAACAGTTACAACCAGAACTGATCGGCCGAGGGACCTGTGCGGCCCATCATTCTGGTTCTGTGCAGGGAAGGGTACAAAAAACCTGAAAATATTCTTTACATTGAGGTGTTTATTTTACAGTTTCTACCCTATGATGGTCAGTTGTTGCTTTAAGAAGCATGAAGTGTTGTCATTTGTAGGTTGATTTTCTCTTTAGCCTAATATAAAGTATCTTTGGATGCTTCATTGTATCTTAGTTCATATACATTCATGCTATGAGTATATATATATAGAATATATATTATGGGATCTTGTAGAATAAGATACTTTCTTATTCTTTCAGTATTTGAAGAAGATGAGCTCATGTTCTACTCTTGTATTTCAGTCGTACACTCATTTCTTGAATATCTAAAGAAAAACGTATGTGCTGTGTTATTACCTCTGGTCTGTGTAGTCAAGAAGGAATTTTGCTAATGGCACAGCTTCCTTCCTCCTCATTTTCAAATAATTTCTCTGTCCAAATTGGAACTACAGTTGGGAGTACCATCTCCACCATAGTTTTGACAAGGTTCACAGTCTAAATGTGAAAAACACTTTTGTCTTTTTCTCTTAGTTTTAGTTGCTTTTTATCCTGGAGAGAGAGGGGTTTTAAAAATAATATTTCTGTTTTGTATTTAGTCATAAGAATGTCCTTTCTGGGTCAGATGAATGACCCATCTAGGCAAAAGTCCTGTCTTTGATAGTGACCATAAGAATAAGGGAAGAATGGGAATAGGTAAAGCATCAGTTCTCCTAATAAATATTACCTGCGTTGTGGGAGCGATGATTGCTCTTCTGGGGGAAAAATTACACTAGAATATACTTGATTATCTAAATCTTTCATTTCCTATGACCCTTTTTAAAAAAATTGGAAAACATAGGCAGTTTAATCACTCAAATAAGTATGTGGGTTTTTTGTTGTTGTTGTGTTGTGTCTTTTGTAATTTCCTAGGCAAAAAGCTATTCTGAAGCTCTTCAGTGGTACAATTATTCTGTTAGCTTCTACACACCTGGGCAAATAGATCAGAACTTGGCTAAGCTGCAGAGGAACATAGCTTCTTGCTATCTTCATCTGAAACAAGTTGACAAGGTACATATTTATATATAAATGTATTAATTTATTTGCATTGTTTTTATTTTTGTAGCTATGTCATTGGGACTTGATTTACATCTTTGTTACTGTACCTCTTTTGATTTGAGAGAGGGAACTGTCTGCCTAACTTGCATCATCCAGCAGAAAGACATTGTTCATTATCTTAGCTGCTATGAGAGCCTCTTCTATTATCTATAATTCTAATGGGTTGTGTGACTGTGCCTCATTGTATCAGGTTTCTTCTCGGATTAGAGATACTCCTCTCTTGAAGACACATGAGCCTTGGCAGGAAAAATGTTTGACTTCTCACAGCAGTGTGTTAGCCGCCACCTCTGCAGAGAAGTGCACCTGTTTTACCTATCTAGGCCCTCTGGTTTGAGGGTGTTACACTTCACTGGTCAAAGTGGCAAAAGGGAATTTAATTTTTCAGCATTCTCAGGGCTTCTCTTGCTTTCTGATTCTGTAGATCTGATTTTGAGGGATTGGCTTTTTCCTCAGTCTGGTCATCGTCAGCCTTTGGTGCCATCTTCTGCTCTTGTCACTTGAATTTTCTTTCCAGGGAAGATGTTGCCAAACTAAACTTCTTGAGTAATTACATAAATATCAACAATGTAACCATTAACATTTGGTGTATCTTTTTAGTTCTCTTCTATTGCGAATTATAGTACTGATATCAAGATGCCAGTGTACTGATTTCCTTTAATCTCTTCTGTGAATAGGCTAAAGAGGCAGTTAAAGAAGCAGAGAGGTGCGATCCAAACAGCATCTTTACTAAATTCAGTGTCTATAAGATTGCAGTGATGGAGAAAGATACTGATAAAGGTAGAACTTGAAAGATAAAGGGCCCAGTACAAGGAGCAGAAGTGCCAAATACATTAGAAAATACTAAGCAGATTTGGACTGTTCATCTTGAGAAAGAGCTTCCCTCCACAGTAGAGGGAAGCTAGAAGAAGTGTCTGTAAAGTCACTGAAACTGTCAGGCTGTAGATTTAAACTGTCAGAGTGGGATACTTTTTGTACACAGTATGTAAGACGTGGAAACCGTTGCCACATCTGATATTGTCTGGATGGAGCTTCTGGCTAGAAAGTCTCTAATTTTCTCATGGGCAGAAGCTATAGTAGCATCCCAGGGTGAAAATCATTGTATACTAACTGTATATTCTCTTTTTATGCATATACAATGTAAAAAAAAAAAAGGATACTGAGCTAAGTGAATCTTAATGGAACCATTATTGGTGCTTTTAATTTGTCTGGACAGGTAGAGCCTGAATTTTCCAGAAAATACATGAATTATGGAGATGACTTAGAGGATGACATACCTCTGTAGGCTCTTTCTTCTTTATAATGAGTTCTGCCATTTCCTATTTTAACAAGAATCTTAGCTCAAGCAATGAATATTGAGAGATACAGTCTATGCTTTCTTAGAATACAGAGTAACATGCAGAGCTTATTTTCTTATGAGTTCTGAGCCAATTAATTGTCCTCTGTACATCTTTGTAATGACAACATGATTTGTTCACATAATATAGAGTGGGAACCACAGCACAGTGTGAACATAAAAGCAGCAGCACCCTTAGCATAAGCCAAGATGTGAGAGCTTGGAATCACGCCCAGACAATGTATTAGAAAGTCTTCTGTCTTCAGTGACGAACAGTTATTTAGCAGAACAAAATTAAGGATGTGAGATAGAGTTTCATTTGTATGGCATCCTTGTTTCCTTAGATTAGTAGCTTGGAAAGCCTTTTGGCACATCTGTAGGAAGAAATGCATAATTGTGGAGAAGTGCTGGTATGTTCAGGCTTTCTTGTCTTGGTTTTTCATATGAAAAAAAATTACAACCTTTCATAAGTCGTTTTTAAAGCCTCATTGAAACACTAGAGCTCTCTACCTTCCAATTGCTTTTATAAGAAAAAGTAATTCTTACCTCTGTATATTTCAGCTATGGAAGCAGTTATTGAAATGGGGAAGGTATCAGAAAAGCCGTCTCAACATGAAGACAAGCTGAGAATGGATGAAAATGCAGGCACTAACCTCCTGAGTTTAGCTGCCCAAATTGCTTTAGAGGTACAGCAGATAATGTTGTCTTTGCTTTATTGCCATAAGTAGGACAGCTGTAACCTCTGTGACCTGGCCTCCTTGCAATATTTTTATGTATTTCATGCATTTCTCAGTATTTCATGCTTCTGAGGCCAAGGTCTCACTCAAATGTGTTGTGTGATGCAAAGTAGAAATGGATTTCACATATAAAGGAATTGTATTTTTAAATATTTCTTCAGAAGAATAAAGGATTCTGAGTTATAAATATTGGTATCTGGAAATGACAGGGTGTATTGGACATCACTCTTCCTAGTGATGTCCAGTGACAGAACAAGGGACAATGGGAGGTTCAACCTGAACATGAGGAAAAACCTTTTTACTGTGAGGGTGACAGAGCCCTGGCCCAGGCTGCCCGGAGAGGTTGTGGAGTCTCCTTCTCTGCAGACATTCAAAACCCGCCTGGACGCCTTCCTGTGTAACCTGGTCTGGGTGATCCTGCTCTGGCAGGGGTTGGACTGGATGAGCTTTTGAGGTCCCTTCCAACTCTTAACATTCTGTAATTCTGTATTTCTGTAAAATTCTCCTTAGCAAAGTGTTACATCTTTTTCTGCCTCTGGGATTTGATCTTGGACATGCTAAGGAGAATCTGTGTACAAAATACACAGAAGTCAACAATGAAAAACACAAAAGTCACTCGTCCCTCTTGATTGGCAGCTTGAGTGATGTCTGAACTGGCCATTTACATTGGCATAATTAGAAGAGGCGTTTGGCTGTCTTACAGGGCTTTGTTTGTAGCCCTGTAAGGCGTGAAAGCCTTCCCAAGCTGTAGTGATCTTGTTCTTGCCATTGGCTCTTTGTGCATGGAGTCATATAATCTCTCCTTACAGTTTTCTCTTGACTCTGAGGCTCTTCTGTGCAGAGCCCTTTGTTCTTCTTCCTGCTAGTAGACTGCAAAGGCTTTTGGAATGTGCTGCTTTGGGGTTTTTTTTGGTGGTAACTGAGGTAGTGCAGTTTATATAAAACTTGTTTTAATTCATTTTCAGAATGAACAACAAGTTGTGGCTGTCAAAGCTTTGGAGTATTTGTCTGAACATTTGCAAGACTGCCGACAATTATTTGCAGCTTTAAAGTGAGAATCCAATATATTTCCAAGGAAAGAGAACTTTTTCTGGTTTCTTTATAAAGAATAGTTTATTATATTGAGAAAAGTGGAAAACAGATTCGGTGAATGATTAGATAGCAGTCTTTTTGGTGCTGCAGATGTAGCTCAAGCCTGAACTCTTAAAATTTACAGATGTTCCAAGTCTCTCCCAAGCAAATGGTATTAGTTGCTTTGAATTTAATGATTACATTGTGATTTGAACAGGTGACCAACTGTTGCGACTCTAATGAGACTGCAGCAATATATTTGGTGAAAATACCAGTTCACCTGTATCCTCTGATGAAGCAGTGTCTTCCTATTGAAATATTCTGTCATGTTTATAAGAACAGATATTGTAAGAGAGATGTATTTATTCCAGTATTTTCTTAAAGTATTTGTTAAAGCGTATTTATTGCTGTTACATGATTTAACAAAGTGATAATACAAAATAAGGAAATAGGGTGGGAAATATAATCTTATTTTCAGTTTGATGCTTTGAATTCTTCTGTGAGTTCTATGGGGTGATAACATATTTAAGAAAAGTGGGATTCCTTCTGTAAAATTAGGACAAAGTACACTGCTGGAAAAAACCCCTTGTTTCTTCATTGCTTGTTTTTCTCAGATGTTTGGTTCGTCTTACGTTGTCAAAGGTCATGGCAGAAAATGAAGAGAAAAGGTGAGTCCATTTGCAAAGCCATTTTTTAATGATGGATATGGTTCATGGTGTACTATTTTATTGCTGGGCTTATTTTCTTGCAATCGAGAGATTAGTTTTTATGCTAGTCCAGCCAGATGACTTCCCAGCTTGACCTAATGGCATCAATTAGGAACATCTTTTCTACTTGTGTAACCTTTCCTTTAAATACTTGCTCTTTGCCTTCCTTTTATTAATGCATAAGACTGTCAGGTATTTTTGATATGAAAAGTAAGCTAAGCAACCACTTTAACTTTGACACTAGGATGTGATATCTTTCAGAAGTTCTAAGTGAGAACTTCAGAGTGGGACCTCCCTTGCTGAAGCCTTGCTACTTTGCAAATGTTACGTTGGCTTAGAAGAACTGTACTGCTGGATTTTGACAGTCAAGAAAACAGCATAGTGTCAGTGGGGTTTGAAGTTTAACCTGCAGCCTCCACAACTGAGAAGATCTCCTGCTGCACTTCTACAGTGACCTTCGGTGCTGCAGATCAATCGAACTTTTTGCAGGCCTTCAATACTCCTCCTGCATCTTCAAATGCTAGAAGTTTCTAATGCCTGACGTGTTTGTCAGGGGAATAATGAGTATATCCACAATTATGAAGATGTTTGCGACATAAATAATGTGTTCTGTTGTAAGAAAGTGAATCAAATATTTTCTAAAACTGAATTTTTCCTCTGTTCTAGAGATGAAGATATCAACTCTATGCTGTCTTACTTGACATTGGGTATGCTTTTGTTTTGCTTATATTTTCTGTAGTTCTTTCATCTGTGAACATTTTATGATATGATTAGGTTCATACCAACCAAATGTTTAAACTCCTTGGTTTAGTCTGGGTTCCCCATTTCCCACCAAAAATCAGTGACAATTAAAACTGGAGATTCAACAGTGCTGGATCCCAGTGCTACAAGTTTTTGCTATGCAAAGCTTACAGGCTACTGCTGGAGAAAGTATTCCTATCAAAGCCTGTACTTGGGAGCTTCTCTCAGACCAAGTTGCAGTTTCTTCTAGGCAATTTCCCTTTAATCCTTCATGAGGCCATGCATGCAAACAACAGATATTTGTTACCACTACAGCCTGAGTGGCCTCAAGTGACAGTCCTCTACCCTGACTGCACTGGCAGGAACAACGTTAGTATCTTTAATAGCAGGGCTACCACAAAGGAAGAAGTTTGGTTTTGTAAACTGAATTAACAGCATAACTTTCTCCAGACAGTAATTCAATGGCAATGGTGGTCTTTGCTGTTCTAGCTGTTTAAAAGGGAACATATTAAAAATTATGTTAATGCTATTTCCTTTTTTATTACCTTGGAAGGCTTAGAAAACGGCAAGGAGTAAGAGCAAATTGCTGAAAGACAGGAGAGGCTTGTCAAAATTGGTTCCCACTTTTAAGTTGTGCTGTCCTTTGAAAAAGAATTGACTGCACTAGAAAGAAGTGCAGGAGTTTTACAGAGGACTTATTAAAAGTTCCTTGAAGAAAGGCCTCAACCCTGTTACTAAATTTAAAAACACTCAACTTTTTTGTGAAATTCAGTAGAACTCCTCTGCATTGCACTTCAGTGACAGTAAAGTTTGACAAGGCAGTACCTGTTGACGGCCTTGTGTATCTTATCTAACATGCTGTTTAAGGCACCTTTGAGTGTTTTTTACAAGCCTCTCTGGTCAAGCATATGATACAAGTTGTGAGAATAACTTTCCATCAGGAATTATGGGTGTTTTGGAAACTTCTGTTTTGTAGTTTAGTTATTAGATTTGGAAGTGGTTTTACTCTGCTCAGGACATGTTACTTATGATTGAACACATTTTCTGCAGCTCACAAGAGACTTGCTGAGTCTTTCACAGACGACGAATTTACAGGGGACATGAGGATCCTTGAAGCTCACTGGTTTAGAAAAGTTGGTAGGTGCACTCTCAAATGTGGTCCTGCACTT